GGTGAACACATTAGCTATAAAATGTTATAAAGTAGCCCTAAACCATAGGTATTGTGTGAAACTGTTTGCTGACCTAAATAATAAAATATTTTTTAACGGCTGAATTACGATATAACCTGTAATCTTCTTAATTGTTAAAATACATCTAAATCCGCTGTCACCGCCAATTCTAATCATTTATACTTATACCGGACAAGTTACAAGCTGAGGATGTGACTGCATCCTCTGCTTGATGAGAATTTGAGCACAGGAAGTCCATAAGGTCATTTCAAATTATAAAGTTAATTGAACGTACCGCAGTGGTAGATCGTTGTGACGGATTGGTAACAATGGAAATATTTGTGTTTAAAATAAAGTAGATAGATAGACCCTTTTGCCAACATTAAGAAATTAAACAAGCATATCATCATTGCCTTGCCTTTATCCCATTATTTGTGGTCGGCGCAGTATGTCATTCTCTTCCACTGCTCTCTATCGGTCGTCATATCTAAACTTACTCTTCTTTTATTCATATCATCTTTCACACAATCCATCCATCTTTTCTTAGGGCGTCCCCTCCCTTTACATCCATCTACATTCATATTATACACTTTCCATAAGACATGGTCCTCATTCCTCCGCATAACATGCCCATACCAGCTCAAAATTAAACAAGCATATATGAGAATAAAAAAAAATATAAGGTTGGTAACAGAAACTCCTCAGCTGTTGCTGATCATAACATCAATGAGGTGTACCTATACAGCGCAGGTTTTCAGGAAGCCCCCATTACTCATAAGAAACAAACTAACGTGTGTGCTTGTATAAATTACAGTCTAATTTACAAATTTGTAATATTTGAGACAATAAACTAAACAAAATAAGACCTGGTACGTAGTAAGTAATAGTAGTACTTAGTTCGGGTCTGAGAATATGACGTAAACTATTAGACGGCTTTACAAAATACATACAAACTCTACTATCTTCCTCCTTCTAACATTAACCTCTGTTTTTTAAGAGCGACATCTAAATATATATAACTCAAAGGTGACTGACATATTGATCTATCAAAGCACAGCCCAAATCACTGGACGGATCGAGCTGAAATTTGGCATGCAGGTAGATGTTATGACGTAGGCATCCACTAAGAAAGGATTTTGATTAATTCTACCCCCAAGGAGATAAAATAGGGGATGAAAGTTTATATGAAACTTTGTCATTTTTAAACTGATCGGGCTGAGATGATTGAGATTGATGAGAGAGAGATTGCATGCATAAAACTGCTAGGTATTCTTTAAGAAAAAAATTTGATAAATTCCACCTCTAAGGGGATAAATTAACGGGAGCGAAGCCGCGGGCAAAAGCTAGTTAATTTATATGGCAAAACAATGTTTGATTGTCAGCTAGTATATATACCTATATTTATATATCTTAATAATAAAGTAAACACGAAAGTTTGTAAGTATGGATGTTTGTTACTATTTCACGCAAAAACTACTGAACGGATTTTGTTGAAATTTGACATTGATACAGCTTATGCATCAGAATAACAAATAGGCTATATGTTTTTATTGAAATTCATCGCGAGTGAAACCGCGGCAACTTCTAGTATATATACAGAGTAATTTTAGCTGGGGCCTCTTTGTCTCGCCTATTTCTGTTGCCAAAGAAGATGACCCAAATAATATGGATGAAGGCAAAGCAATAATGATAATGACTAAGCCGTGATATCATCTAAATTGAAGGCGATCATTACTTAATACGTTTTCCTAAGTTCGTGTGTATAAATAGAAGTAATTTAAACACACTTGTCCCTTTTCTCACAATTACGTAGAATATATAATTACGGAAATACGTTATTATGACGGTTTAGTGTCTGCAGGGCTCGCATGAATGTGAAAGTGAGTTTAATTTGTTTGTTTGTAACCTCTAACAGCACTGCCAATTGTCATAACATTAGCATACACGTAATACATATTTGGGATGGCAGAGGTAATATAGGTCACTTTTATCTTAGTACATTTTTTTTATACTATGGTGGCATACAAGCATACGGCCCATATAATGGTAAATGGCCTATGGCCTGAGACACCAGGGGTGTCACATGCGCGTTGCTGACTCTTAAGAAACCTTAATATACCCTTCTTGAAAAACCCCATGCTGTAGTCTCGTGTGAAAAGCTCGGCAGGACATTCATTCCACAATCTAAGTGTACGCGGGAGGAAGCTCCTCTGAAACCGCACTGTTCGAGACCACTTAGGTTCCAGCGTGTGGGAATGAATTCCCTGTCGATGGCGAGCGGTGCGATGGTAAAAGGTGGCCGTAGTGGTACTAGTAGTACATTTATTACAAAGGTAGACTTTGGAATATCGTCTGCGTGGGTAGGTACCTCGCACCTTCTTATTTGTACTGTCCCACTATATAATAATAATTTTTATTTGTCTCAAACAAAAACATTTCACACAATACAATTTAAAACTAATGAATGAGACAAAACGGTCTATAAATCAGTGAGGGCAGTGAGTCCACCCTTTCTGCTATTCTATATATGGGATCGGTTCTTTTAATTTTGCGTCGCTAAATGTTGAAGACTTGTTTAAAAGGGCAATTCGCTAGTTACTTGCTCGTTCTTCTTGTGACGAGTCTATATTCCGCATGATTGGTAGAATAGAAAAATATATATTCTAATCAAAAGTGCTTACATTAAGTTTATTTGAAGAAAGATTATATTAGATGCAAATAAAAAATCACACTCCATATTACTGGCTGACATTGTAGCATTATGTACAAAAAAATAAAAAAGATTTTGAATTTCAAACAAATAAATCAAATCTTTGCTCTTTAATATTAGACTGAAAGAATATCGCGTTACTTAAGTCATTAGTATATAATGAAAATATACTTTCAATATTTATTAATATTTTAGTATCATTTTGACATATCGCGGTCTAAGCAGACACGATGCTTTTAGTTTTAGTATCGCCGTCTGTACAGTAGTATCTACTATTGAAATGTATTTATTACATAGAAACCCTCGTTTTGAATCAGTCTATCGATTGCTAAAAACTGCTTTACAATCCGTACCGTAGTTTAAAAGATCTAAGGGAACAGACAGAGGAAGCGACTTTATTTTATACTGTGTACAATATAAAATAAATCACATCTATAATGTGGCATCGAGCCACCAAAACCCGTGCCTATGCTTATGACTTATTTACGAATTTATTGATATTTACGAAAAATATATAATCTATCTATGTATTTGTATCAGTTATCTAGTACTCATAACACAGCTTAACTTAGGTCTACATGGCGATGAATTTGAATTGTCCTGAGATTATTATTATTAATGAAGAAAAAGAAAATTGCCAATTACAGACACAGAAAGCAACTCGTCTGTTCCCGTACGCAATTATTTAATTGGCCCTGAAACTTAGCCTCTAGAGGGTGGTAGCTATCATAAATTCATGGAAAATTACGTCATTTAATGCTTTATGAACGTCACACAACCTTGACTTTCCATAGTTCCCTATAATGCTGTGTCATTTGATAAGTTACCCAACTAAAACTACTTTATTCAGAAGGTTTGTACATATACTAGCTGAATTTGTTTTGATATAAAAATAATTTCTGGATAGGGCATTCTTATCACCTAGGAGTATAATATCATCATCATCATCATTATCAGCTCACTGCAGTCCACTGCTGGACATAGACCTCTCCCAAGGTACGTCACAGGGCACTATGTTCAGCCCTTCTCTTCCGGTTATTACCTGCAACCCTACGTTTGTCGTCGCTCCACCTAACTGCTGGGCGTCCTACACTACGTTTGCCAATTTGCTGTCTATACTCAAGAACAGGCCTACTCCCGCCAGCATCGGTTCTGCGACAAATACGACCAGTCTACTGCCACTTGAAGTTACAAATATAAAGAGCTATGTCGGTGACCTTAGTTATCTGGCGAATTACTTCGTTTCAGATTTTTTCGCTCACAGAAACACCAAGTATAGCTCTTTCCACGACTTTAGGGTTGGTGGGCCAGCCGTATCGTGAGTGTCCACATTCTGGCATCGTAAGTCATAACGGTAGGACGCACTGATTATATACCTTTGTTTTAAGGTTTTGTGGAAGCGACGACGACAAGACTTGATGAAGTTTTCCAAAAGCTGCCCAATCCAGCAATATCAGTCTCTCGACATCCCTTTCAAAATTATTTTTACTTAGTTGGAGCATTTAGTTTAGGGGTATAATATACACCAAAAAATCGGTCAAGCCCTGTCGTGATATATGTACATTATAACAATAGTCGGATTTTGTACAACTTTCCTCGATAAATGGGCCATTCTATAAGAATTTCATAGAATTAATTTATATGATCACATAGAAGCCTTGACTCAATTATAAACACAGTTAACATTGTACATTTCAATGTTAATTACATAAAATCTGTGATTTTGAGTGTTGACCGCTTTTTGGGCACAATTTAAGGTCAGGGATACAATAGAAGTTCATTGTTTCAGTTGGGAATTTTTTTAACAACAATATTTTTTTATGTTTGAGTTTTAAGTGTGTTATAATTATGTGATAATTTTTATATGCAGGTAAGTAAGTTTGCACGATTTCTATGACACTTTTAAATTACCGTATAGACTCTGAATCTTACCACAACTCTTGTTTCGCACTGTTTTTTACACCTAATATTTCTTGTTTCGTGGAGAATCAAAAAGATTTTCATTTTTATGACTTTAGAATATCATTTAATTCTACTTTCAATTGAATTTATCATTGAATAGATCAAAACAACCTATATTCAAATTGTAACCCTAGTGGTTCGATTTGATAGTCAGTATATTAGGTTTTTTATGGGTGCTGATAAACTCTGCACATTTTTATATATTCTTAAGTTATTTTAAAGTCAAATAATAAAAAAGTATAAAATCCATTTTTTATCTATGGTTTCATTAATCTCATACATACAGTCCACTCATTCTATCGCCCATAAGTAGTATCTCAAAGTCTACCTGTTTAACAGATGTATCTCTGGAGTCGATCTTGGTCGTGAGTTCCCTGATGTCATTCTGCAGCTCCAGTAACCTCGCTTCGTACTCTCCTTGGGTAGTGTCCAGCCGTCGTCGAAGCAGATGTTTCTCCTGCTCCAATTCCTAAAGAGAGAAAGAGATGGCGTTAATTATAGGACTTTATTGAATACTTACCGCGTAAATTTTTAGTAAAAATATAGGAATGGTTTTCTTTCAAATTCATTGCATTAAATCAGTTTAAATTTTTTTCACTACTTCGACTATTCCTTTTTTTTTCAAAGATGGAGCAGATAAATGTAATTTCACTGTGCAGCCTAGTCTTTTTAGAATTTTCTTATTCTAGTCCTAGATACTATTTTCGTCGTCAAAGCATTAGACAATATTATGGTAATATTTATAGTCAATGTTGGCATTTCAGATAAGAAAGAGACACGGGTCTCTTTGTAAAAATAAAAACTAAAACTCATATTAACAGTTGTCAATTTCTAAAATTAAGAAAACCGCACGACAGATAACTATAACGAGCTTAGTTGCTAAAATATTATAGGTTTATTAAAGGTCTATTTAAGTAATAATATAGATATATTCGACAATTATTTTTTATTTATATAATTACAGATTTATGTTTATAATTCTAGTTGTCCCGGTTACGCAGACGAAGTCGCAGTTGAAGAGTAAAATCATAAAATGCTAAATGATGACTAATGTACTAACATTGTAATGACTTTAACGGTCACTGTGCCTAATAATCGTGCCTTGACTTTTCGACTTCATTGTTACCGTTTTACAGACAACCTAAATTTTTCTATCCGACAATGGATTAGGTCTCAGATATTGTGTATAGTTCCCTTAAGAATTAAGGCTTCACAGTGTTTATTCTTGCCTTTGTCAATTTGATAGCGGTCAGCTAACTTTTAGTATTGACATAGATTTAAAGATTTTATCAAATTTTCAATACATTGAAGTGTACCTACAACAATTGTTAGAAAAAATAACTAAATAATAACACCCCTGGAGAAAAAAGACGTCTAGTTCCAGCAGAGCTCGTGTTACTAAACTACGAACTACTGTAGTAGTAAATAACTGACAGGTGCAACTACAATTACTAAACTACTGTGGGTACTAAATAACTGATACTTGATAATATATTTTTTGTAAAAATATAATACATATAGACAACGCCCAGACTAAATACAAACAATCATGCTCACGAATACAAATGTTTGTACCGTGCCTTGAATCGAACTAACGACCATTTAAAGTAAAGCGGTGTGCTAAAACGCTATGCAATAGAGGCCGTTAAGTTTAGTCATAAAAATAAAAAAGATACAATCATTCGTATAACCGAGTCTCATTTATACCGAGATTTGATTCCTAGATATCAGGGAACGAATCTTCCGCCGTCTCTCAAATTTGTTTGGTTTTATAGTATTTCTATTTCCTTCTTTTCACTATCCCGATTTATGTGGGGTAGGCTATCCTAATTTAGCGTCACCAGGACCATCTTGTCTATCTTGTCGAGTTGAGACATATATATCCGTCGCTATAAGATCTTTCATCTTGGTCTACCAGGTAGCTGGAGAAGATTCTCTACCTCTTTTATGTTAAATTAATCCGTAATTTGTTTTATAATGTTTCCAGATTCTTCTACTGCCTTATCCCAATTTATACGAGGTAATAATATTGCGTCGCCAGGACCCGTCGCTATAAGATCTTTCATTTTGGTCTTCCAGGTAGAGGACATCTTCTACCTCTTTTATGTTAAATTAATCCGTAATTTGTTTTATAATGTTTCCAGATTCTTCTACTGCCTTATCCCAATTTATATGAGGTAATAATATTACGTCGCCAAGACCCGTCGCTATAAGATTTTTCATTTTGGTCTTCCAGGTAGAGGACATCTTCTACCTCATTTATATTAAATTAATCCGTAATTTGTTTTATAATGTTTCCAGATTCTTCTACTGCCTTATCCCAATTTATACGAGGTAATAATATTGCGTCGCCAGGACCCGTCGCTATAAGATCTTTCATTTTGGTCTTCCAGGTAGAGGACATCTTCTACCTCATTTATGTCAAATTAATCCGTAATTTGTTTTATAATATTTCCAGATTCTTCTACTGCCTTATCCCATTTTATATGAGGTAATAATATTGCGTCGCCAGGACCCGTCGCTATAAGATCTTTCATTTTGGTCTTCCAGGTAGAGGACATCTTCTACCTCATTTATGTCAAATTAATCCGTAATTTATTAAGTTTTATAATGTTTCCATCACCAGATTATCTACGAAACTCAGAGCTATAGACCATGGCTTCACTCAATTACCCTAAATACATCTTAAGTTGCATTAGTTTTAATAGAATTTCATCAAGATACTAAGTAATCTCAGAGGTAACCGTACGAAACGAATGTCGCATTGTAATGTGTTGCACTGCGTGAAAAATTCGAGGTGAAATTTCTATTTTAGTTAACTCTTGTCCATGATTTTATGGGTCATTATTCTATACATTATTATAAGTACAAAAGACTATAAATCAGAGAGTATATACGAAATATAACGTTAGTTAAGTGTTAAGAGAATAATATAAAAAAGAAAGATTTCGTTTTTGTTTACTTAATAATAACATATAATTTTTGCAGACTAGCACATTTGACGGCCTCGGTGGTCTAGCAGTTTAGCATACCGCTTTACTTCCTATGGTCGTGGGTTCGACTTCTCGGACGGTACAAACATTTGAATTCATGAGTATGATAGTTTGTATCGGCATACACTGGCCGATGGCATGAGATCAATCAGTTAGCCCAGCGTGATAAATTCACCAGGTACTTATCACGTACATTACAAATCTTAATAAAATATAAGCTAGTAAAAAAAAAAATAATTTTGGAAAGAATTAGTCATCCGTACATTTATTGGATCAATGGAAAGCCAGGGTGGCTTAATAGTATAATATCAATTTATTTTATTGGAGATTTTGGGCTATTGTCAGTTGCTAACATGTAACACTGCGACCTGCATAGAACTTGTGCTCGCCCTCTTTCAAACTTCGCTACCTAGACCCGTGATAACAAGAATTGTAGGATATTCTTAGAAGCCATGGTTTTTATCTCCTTAGGATAGGCTGTATACTTTCCGAAGGCGATATTTCGTTTATGCATGAGTAGGCTACAATCACATACGATGTGTAGTGGCGTTTCCTTCTCTGCTTGGTAGATTGTTGTTGTATAACATCTAGAGACAAACGATTTTGTGGGTTGAAAAAGTCGATTGGTTGGAAACTTACAAATGAATTTTTGAATGATACAACAACTCTCATTAGCCTGTCACGTGTATTGTCTAGAAACTGAAATGCCTTAGTATTGTAGTAGCGTCAAACCTTAGATTGACATTAAAACGTGTAACCCATGCTTTCTAAGACTTGCTCATTACATTAAAACAATAGTCGGGAAATAGACAACCGGAAACCACTTTGTTCCGTAGCGGAACTGTTTTTGCCAATATAGCATTCAATTATTTTGTCTATCTGTGGATAATCGATTAGACAGGAAATTAGATATATAAGGTCTAACCAAAATAGTATTTAGGACTCTAATGCTGTTGGATGCAACTGGCCTTTACGCTTCACCGGACGATAGGGGGCGAGTGCAGATGGCGCTCCAAACCCGGGGAAGGACTTATGGAGCGGCTGAAGGTCTAAAACTAACTGTACCCGCGATTTCTCCCGCGTTAAATTTCAATTTTAACATAAAATATATCCTATATGTAAATCTGATGCATAAGCTATATTATTGTAAAGTTTCATAAAATCCGTTCTTAGTTCTTGCCTGAAAAAGTAACAAATATCCATACCAACCAACTTTCGCGTTTATAATATTTAGTAAGATATGATTATTGAAAAATGTAAAATATTAAGTTATTTCTTTTTGTATACAGGAGGTTTAAAAACATACCTTCGTAATAATAATATGATACACTTTGTATAACCCGATAATATGCAACGATTGTTTTGTTCATATCACTTACAATAATGTATTGTAACACAATTTACGTATATTTAAACCAGACTTAACAAATACTTTAGGTCTGTTTGTAACTGAACAATATATCCATTTAAATGATATGCGTCAAACGAATTATTTGTATAATATGCACTTGTGTGTATATAATTAATATTTGTATTATTCGAAAAACATACACTATATTTATATATTACTAGCTATTACTCGTGACTTTGTCCATGTGAAAATAAAAGAAATAAAAGTTCTAAACTAAAAGTAGCCTAAGTTACTCTTTACATTACCTATCACGCCAAAATCGGTCGAGCTATTTCAGAGATAAACCGTTTGTCACATTTTATAATTAAAATAAGTTTAATAATCTTTCCTGACCCTCTTTAAAAATTAAAAAAGTAATGGTAACGAAAACATTTGTATATAACTCATCACATATCTATATGTACATCATAATTATTGCGTTTTTAATTAAATAATTACTTTTAACAATACTTTTGACATTAGAAACCATGGAAATAGGGTCGCGAGTAGAAAATTATTGTTAAGAATCTAAGTTATTGTTCTTAGGAGAGAATTTCAGCCTACTTGCTTTTTCATTCGCATGGTTGTCAACTTATGTGAATCATAGACTATGAACCCACGCATACCTCACCACAGATAATAGGAATAATAACTGGGGCGTTTTCACAACTCTTGTCTATGGTTTGTTGCTTTTACTGGACTTATTTCAATGTACCGCCTTTCTTCCGGTGGTCGCGGGTTCGATTCCTCGTACGGCACAAACATTTGTATTCATGAGTATAATTGTATCGGTCTGGGTGTTTTCTATGTATATGTATGTATTTACAAAATATATATATCTATGTATTTGTATCAGTTATCTAGTACTCATAACACAAGCTTTACCTAGCTTAACTTGGGCCTAGATGGCGCTGTGTAAATTGTCCTGAGGTTATTATTATTTTCACTATTGTCGTATTTTCTCAGCTTTTGCTAGTTTTTTACCACACTTACGGGCCGAAACCAAGTAAGCGCAGTGTGTATCCGTGAATCCGTGTGTGTGTATGTGTGTGCTTATTGTGTGACTGGTGTTATGTCCATTACACC